TCATCTCAGGCACTCCTACAAGTGTTTAAATAACTTCTACCACTCTCTCAATTTTCACAAGACACCCAATCTGGGATGAGGTTCAGACTGGTCTCATCTCTTCCAAACAAAAGCACATCCACATGCATGGTCTGCATTTATTTGGTGGGACACATCCCAGGGAACAGCTGGGGGGATGGAAATCCAGAGCCATCCTGAAGGATTGTGGGGGATATTTTAGGGATAGTTCCATTCTTAAAACTACCATATCAAGATCTTTCAATCCTCAATGCTTCCTGCTATCCTCGCTGAAGTGCCAAGCCCCTGAAGGCACATTTTCACACAAAGACAGAAAGTGGAAGCACAGTTGGGTGCACAGTGGTGGTGTGGGTACAGCTGTGGACCTAAAAGGGAAGTGTGAGGACCATCTGCTGACAAATGCTCCTGCTACAGCAGGCACTGAAAGCTGCCAAGGATCTTTGGTAAGGGTTACAAGTAACAGCTGTACTGACCTGAGAGGGACCACAGCCAAGGAGAGGATGGTGCAGGCAGAGCTGAGCAAACTGGAAATCAGTGTTGCCTTGACAGTCCTGCAAGCTGCCACTGGAACAGGAGATTGTGGCTTGGACACAGGCTGCAAGGCCATCACAGACAGAGTCTCCTGAGCATTACCAACACTTCAGGTTCATTCTGTAACTGAAACCAAAGCAGGCACTTCCTTCATGGGGCTGGGAGGGACCTGCAGGCAGGTGAGGTCGATGGCACAGCTGGGGTGAGTTTGAAGAATGTCCACAGTTGCTCCATTATCCATTTCCTGCAAGAATCCAGAAGTGGTTCATGGGCTGCAACCCTCCAGAGGGTTCTGAGGCTGCTCTGGACACACAAATCCTCTGTATTTATATTGTAGTAACACCATCACCACAAAACAGGACCCAAAGTCCTTCCTGGCACTGAAGGAAGTGCCACCAGAGCAGTCACTGGGCTAGGGCTGCTGCTGAGCATGCTTAGACACTGGAATTTCACCCAGATTTTGCCTGTTTAATGCCAGCTGCTTGTACACAGGGTCCTGCTTGCAATCAGCCCTGGTATTTTCAGCTGGCTTGGCCCTAAGCACTAACCACAAGACTTCAGAGTAGCTCCATCTTTATTCTTTCCGGCATATCACAGTGCCCCATTAAACAGGGACAAAAGATTTCCTTATGTAATAGGGATGCTATTTGTTATTTTTAACCTTCTGGCAGCCAGGGTTTGTGCCAGGTGGCGTTCTGCCTTAACCAGGGAACTTCAGGAGGTTACATTCCTCACTGTCATCCCTGCCCTCTGGCACAGTTGATGCCCATACATGGTTTCCTGGCTGCCTGTCCTTGTGCCTATCTGTGAGCAGTTATTTGTGACAGCTCACAGAAATACCAGTCCTGTTTAACAAGGTAAATCAGGATGCTGATCAGTCCTTTCCAGGACCCTGCAAGAGCTTCTGCTTCTAATAAAGGGTCCTGTGAAATCCATGTGAAACCCATAAAGTCTGTTTACATGTATCTATGCTACCAGAGAAACACCATCGGCGTAGCTGAAGTTTTCAATTTCTCAAGATAGCTTTAAAACAGTTTGTTTAGTCCAGTTAAGCCCATGCAAAGCAGACAAATAAAATGGTGGCAACTCCCAGCAGCTGAGGAGTGAGAGCAGGCAGCAAGGAGGGCACTGAGCCATGGGCTGAGCATCCTGAGCAGCTGGGACCCCGGCACTCACGTCACTGCTCGCCTGGCAAACTCCATCAGCAGCATCCCTGCGCCAGATTTGGGCAATTTCATGGAGCTTAAGCAAGCCTGGCTGGTGCAAAGGATGCTGCCAAAGCCTGTTGTACCTCCAGACCAATACAGGGAAACACAGTGCCAAACATCCTTTGGGTCCAAAGGAGCTCCACAGCAAATGATGGTTTTCACACTGCCACGGCCGGTCTGGCTATTTGTAAGCAAGTAATAGTGACAGATCCTGTGTCCCATGGCTCACAATTTTATAAAACACACATGGGACCTTGGGGAGATAGATTTAAGTTGTCACAGATGTGATATTTCAATTAGCAGAAAATATTCATTAAAAAATCTGAATAACTAAAGTTAATAGGGAATGTAACTCCACCTTCATATGAACAGAAGGGTATCTGGCAATTTTAACTATGTGCTCACATAATTTAGAGGTTTTTGCTTGTTTGCCTCGAACACAATCCCCCTTCATTCAGTCTCCAGGCTGGAGGCACAGAGAGGTAGAATTTTAATTCTTCTGGCCATTTATATACATGTGGCATTTCTTGACCTTTAAGGATTTGATTTTGAAACCTATTTAACTTTTTGACGTAGGTGTTTTTGTGGGTTTTGTTGGGGAATGCCAAAAATTTTCTGCATGTAAGGAAAAAAATCAGTAAGAGCAACTGTATGAGTGTTCTTCTGTTTGTACCCAGAGGGCCCTCCCTCTATGTCTGCAACACCAGTTTCTTAGTAGCACAAGCTTCTTATTCAGCTTTGTTTTGACAAAGAAAGATAAACCACTGTTTTGCTTTGCCCTTCCCCCACCATTTACTAATTAGTTTTATTTAGTTTGCTATTCCACGCTCCTTGAAGGGAATAAAACCCCTCATTTTAAAATAATAATTATTTAAAACTGCTTTAAGTTGTTGACTATGTAGGTTCTTATGAAGAATTTAAAATAGAACATAATTATAAATCACTGTGCAAATGAGCTCGTCCTGCACAGGCAAGGACATTTAATTGTGTCCTTGTATGACTGGAATCACTGTAAACAACTAATATTCCTATTTGCAGAGACAGAAATAACAAGCTCATTCAGCTGTACAGAAAGGAAGACATAAAAGGAAACCAAAGGCTAAACCAGAATAAGCCACTGGAAAGTTTTATGTCAACAAAAATGGATTTAAATTAAGTAACATCAATTCGGTATTTTGACTGTAAATGAATCAGAACATTAAAACATGTTTTAAAGGGAACATTTGTGATGAAACATCTATGACTAGTTCCTACACCAAAGGAACAGGAAAGTTCCTACTTATTTCTGTGCAGGATCAAAGCCCAACTGCAAAGTTACTTCTCTGGCTTTGGGACTGCTTTGCAGACCTACCTTTTGAAAATGGGAAGAGCAACAAGCTGCAAGGAAAACACTGAATAAATAACTTATCAGTTGCACACAAAGGAAAACACGCCTTGATGACATAATTAAGAAGTTCCATCCTACCGTATATGCATGAAAGAGTAAAATTTAAATTACACAGACAATTTCCATTCTTATGTTTTCTAATTTTCTGAGTGCTTGATTTTGCAACTTAAATCTCTTTTACGATTGCTGTTTTTGACACTGATTTGCAGAAATGGGAGTAGATTTTAATGTTTTTTACTTTGCCTTACTCAATGGCAAAATTTAGAAAAATCCACAAAACAAAACCAAAACCCCCAAGCTCAAACCAAAGATGTGCATTTCTAAGCTATTTGAAGTAATGGGAGATGAGTCAATAATCACCTTGCTTTAAAATGAAGAGAAACACAGCAGAGCAATTTTTCAGTGACAGGAAATAAGGAAATAAACTACACATTCAACAAGTCCAAGATGCCCTTTCCAAATACAAACACAATTCATTTACACAGTAATTTTACAATGGTGATAACAAATTAAAATTGTGGGCAGACAGTGGAGAACCAAATAGATACACAACCCATAGCAGGATCAGCCAAATTAAAGGGAAATTCTTCCACTGTCAAATTTTGAGTAATTAGTAGTTCCATTAGAGGCACAGTTCCAGCTTTAAGCAATTCTAAGCAATTAGTGTTGTTTTATTTTGCCTGGAAGTCCTGACTTCAGCATTCTCTCAGGACATGCATTCTGCTAGCCAGAGCCACACAATGCAGATTAACTCGACTAGAAGGCAATTAGTGCAGGCAGATGAAGATGTAATTTGTCATTCTATAACACTGCTACTTCTAGCCTGGGATGCAATTTTTATTAACACAGCAGACTGATTCAAACAGAGGCAAACACACGATTTTGTTCTATCTGTGCCCATGTGATTGCCTAAGATCCTAACAAGCAATGCTGAGATTTGAAAACCGTACATGACCAAGTGACAAAAAGGGAATAAAGTGCCAGATGACATCTTCCCACACAGCTCCAACCAGCTACAGGAATTCAGGAACTGACTGCACACTTAATAATTTAAGATAAATAATTTAAAATGCACGATGGAGGAGATTTTTCTAGACTTACTCATCACATAATGTAAATCCAGGGATGAAAATGCCAGGCTGAGCAGGAAGCCGAGGCTGGTGTGGTGGACAGCACATGGACAAGGCAAGATTTGCTTGCCAGAGCATTGGCAGTTTGTGGGATAGGCTCTCTGGGTCCTCACAATCTTGTCTTTTAAACAGATCTAGCAATACAGATCTCCCAAAAATGTGTGCTCTTGCATTTCCTGGCTGTTGTGAGGATGACTTGTTTGCCAAAACAAACAGCTGAAGATTCTTGAAGAAAAAGTGCAAAGTAAAAAAATGAAATGCAATTAAAGTGTCCTTTCCTATTTGCACTACAACATCAAGTATTAGACAGCTCTTAGAATATTTCATATTGAGCTCTGATATGCAAGACACAGCACCACCAAGCAGCAGTTTTACAAATCTTTTACCCAATTCAAGACCCCTCTGACCACTGGACAGTACCTACAGCAAAAGGCACGTGGCAGGAAGCACCATTCTTTGCTTTCTCTGCCAAATACAACCACAGCAACAATTACCTTCAACTGTAGCTTCTGAATTTTCCATAACTGCAAGAAGCAGAGCTCAGGACCATGACCTTCCCCCAGCAATCAGTGGGACTGAAGGGAAAGCTGGAACTGTAGCTGAGGAAGAGGAAAGCAGAGCAGGACCTACACCCAAAGGTCCATTACTGTGCTGGTGGAAGTCTCTAACTGTTTTTTTACAAATACTACTGTTCACATGGCCTCCGGATTGACAGGCCTTGTGTGCTTTTGATAGTAATTGATATAAAATGAAACATGACATTCTTGATCTACAAAGCTTCACTTCTTACAGATTTGTCAGCATTTATACATGGTCAGAACTAAGGTCCAAAAAAGGCAAATCTTGCCAAATATGTCAAAATCATAAAATGTTCCCATATTTTTGCCCAAATCTTACCTTCATCATCTTTTTTACAATTCTTTTCCAAAGTGCAGTTGCAATGTGCTCGTGCTTTTAAGCTAGGAGGTATGTTGAGTGCACAATGAGGACTCATATTTTTGTGTGACAGAGAAATCAAAAATGGTGATGTTCAAGTGTCTTGAGGGAGAACAAAAATTCTTCTCTGACATCTAAGATGGAATGATAAACTCACAAAAAGATACTTTGAAAACTTCATTCCTGAAAAATTCCTATTTTCCCTCATGGAAAGAAACAAATATCAGCTTCTGCTTGGAGGGACAGCAGCTTTTCCCAGCTGCGTATTCTCACATGTAAAATATATGACCCAAATGATCTTTATGAGTTCACTAAATGTCAGGATCACTTCTTTTTATTACAGATCCTTTTCACCAGGTTTCTCAGAGGAAGATCAGTGCTATACAGCTCAGAAAGGCTTTGGCTCTCTCCTCTGCAGCCTTCATCCAGCTGTGCCCAGAGGCACTGTCAGCAGCTCAATGAAGAACCTGGACACTGCCGCTCAATTCTGCCCCTTCTTGTGCCAAACTCCATCCCAGTTATTCTTTTAGAGGAGGGCATGCTGGTTTCTAGTCTTTTTTGGCTGAAAACATCCTTCTCAGTAAGTCAGAAAGTGTAAGTTATTTGTTATTAGTAATACATTTCATACTTTCAAAGATTTGTACTAAGCCATGACGATGAAAGCTGTCAAATCCACTCAAATGCTTCTTATTGGAAATCAGGCCTGCATATCCACAGATCCTCCCCTTCTTCAACCAAAAATTAAAGATGTAATTCCCAAAGACAGCCACTCTTCTACACCACCACACATTTCATATCGTTGTTATTAATAAAGTATGAACAATGTTTGCAGAAACATTAAAGAATCAGGTCAAGAACTCTGTATGAAAACCAGTGTTATTAAATAAGCCAATCATCCAACTTTGAGTAATTAATGTCCTTGGTTTTTACTTGAAAGCCTCACTTTCAGCATGTTCATAAGTGACAAATGTCCCCTGCCAAAAGGAATGAACATGAATTAACTCTTTTGGATGCCAGTTGCAAGAGGAAGAGGAAAATGCAATACTGGCAGGCTGGAAACAGCACAGCACTTCTGATTGTAGGCTAATTTTAGCTACAATGTGATGATTTCACCACATATAGTCAAGGATTTGATCTGTTCCCATCTGTGCATTATCTGAGTATCTAAACAATTGCCCTAATGCATTTGAAAACTTGAAAATATAAAAAGAAAACCAACAAAGCTGATGGCATCTCCAGATCATCATGTGAAGTACTAATAAGCAACTGTGTTATACAACCTGTGTTCAACAGACTGAAAATGACCTTTCCCAGATCCAAGTGACATTCTTCTGAAGCTGAAAGTGAGAGATTACAGCTGGCTGAGCATGCACTCTACTGTACACTCATTTTAAAAGCTGCCATTGTAAAAGACCCTCCAGGCTTTATGTTGGTTCCTTTGCTCTTCATATTAAGAGCTGCAATGTTCCTCATATTTAACAGTAATTAGAGGGGGAAATGGAGAAAAACTAAGGAGAGGGAGAGAGGTTTATTCTTCTAAAGAGGTGCAATAAGATTAATAGCAATACTATGGGCTATATATGTTATTTTTATTTCATCACCTCAAAACATGATAAATATTTTCAATTGGAAAAAAATTACGAGTATAAAATTTAGCATTATCTTTACAAATCCTTTACAGCCTCTGTATGTGACATGCTCTCCTTCCCTCCACCAAACAATTATGACACAGAAATACTCTCAGGACAGCAGTTGTAGAACTTGTCTGATGCGCTCACACTTCCCCAGCAGGTTTGGGTCTTCTCCATCAGAACCATCAAATTCCTTCATAAAAGCTTCAGCTTTCTGCACAGTTTTGTCTCGTGCATTGCCCTGAAGCCCTTGCAGATAATCCAGTAAAATGGTGAAATACTTGTCTGGAACCTTGGAAGAAAAAACAAAAGGAAGGAAAAACAGGTTTATTATCTCCGTTCTCAAAATGCATTCACAATCACGTCACAGCATCACCTGAAAAACAATCAGGAGACTGGCACAGGCTTTGGTGTTCGCCAAGGTCCAACTGCAAGTGGAAATCCAAGTGGAAATGTTTCCTGCCAAGGTTCAAGCTGCCAGGAGGATGGATGGACTCTGGTGAGAGGACTGTCATGTGCTCAGATGGGCAAAGCATCTGAGAGGAAATGCTCAGCAGATGTGGAAACGCTGATCAGCAAATGCAAACACTGCCTGACAGGGAGCCCAAGGCTCTGAGGGTTGGTGGAAGAAAAAACAAAACACATTAGCCAAACCCTCCTTTTGGAAACACACATGTAAATCTCACTAAATTCAGTGAGAATTGCATGCATATGTCTGAGGGAAGATTTTTGCTGGAATTCCCCTCACCCTTACCCAAAAACTGTTTGCTAAGATGAGATACCACCCACCATCGCACACTTTGACAGAATGCTTATACAAAGGACTAGAATTTAATTTGAAAAACAAACTCAAATTCAGACATATGGAAATAATTTTTAAATCATGCTGACTAAAACTGATAGGCTCTACCAACATGTCTAACATTAAAAGCACTTTAGTCATCTACAGTTGCATTATCCACATTTCACTCCCTTTCTAATTAACTAGTCAGAGATTAAGTTTTAGCTTATCTGGTACAACATACAATTTAAATGATCATTATATTAATCTGGACAATAATTTAGCAAGGACTTTGGAAGGATTTATTCAGTACTTCATACTGAAGTACTTTAAAAAGGAATATGTGAACAGACCTACGCTGATCTCAACTTCATGTTGTGTATCTGTGGAGCAGGTTTCAGCCAATAACAGGATATTTTTTGCTGTGAATCATGAGATGTTAAAATGATCTCACCCTGCAAATATGTTTCTCCATGTTTAACTTTACACATATAACTTGACATGAGTTAAGTTAAACACATACGTAAGTATTTAAAGGATTCGAGAGTAATTATTCGAGAGCGGTTTCGATTCTGCAAAGTATCAACATTTCAGAGAAGACAGAGCTTCAACAGACACTTAATTTACAACTTATTTCTCCATGGACATTTGGCAGCCGAACTTTGATCACTAAAACTTCTATCACTCCAAAAGAAGAGGAAGAAAGAATATTCCAACATTGCCTTCATCAATCAGGGTATTACAAAGTAATAAATCAAAACTTAAGTCTGCGTTCAGCCTTGTAACTTGTACACTATGGAAAACCTTTTAATTCTTCACACAAACACTCTTGCATTAAAGAAACAATTCATCTACAAAAGAAATATTAATTTTACAATGACTAACACTGAAATGGATGATATATGAAGTGTTGTTATACTATACAAATCAAACACAGTGAAAAATATCTATATTTTTGAAAGTTTTCACTCACAATAAGGTGGCACTAATAACAGATGAACTCATTTAGACACAAACAATTCCAGTGTGACAGTGTTCCTTTAATGCAGATATTCAGTACTGAGCTTTTAATGTCAGTAACATTTTCACATTTCAAACCTTGGCCAAATTATCTCTGTAATTTACAACTCTTGTTCTCAGAGCTCATGGCATAGACATACCTGTGGAAGTACAGTTGTTATTATTATATCATTTAAGCAAACTGCTTGAGGGGGCAATTGAAAGCCTGCTCTAAATTTAGAAATCCTAAGTGTGCAGACTTAACACGAGGCTGCCTGAAGCCTAGAAAACATTTAGCATTTGGCCCTAAGGGTGTCCTGATGTTCAAAAAGTCTGATTTTTTTCCTTTAACATAACACAGCTCTGAGGTTTATTTCATCAGGAGCTCACAACACAGCACCCTGTGGGCAAGGTAAGATCATATTTCCTCCTGGCTTACACAGACAGCAGAGTCATAGCAAGGGCTGGAACACACAAAGAAAGTTAATGAAATCCAAATTTTAATTCTTCAAATACAGTAGTACAAAAGCAGTAATTTCAGGGGTCTTGATGAGGTTTTCCAAGGAGGAACACAATCCTTCTTCCAAGGTCAGTTCAAGGCTGGTTTGAAATTGGAGATCAAGATCTCCCAGCACGGCTCTGGAAGTCAAAGCCAGGCTTATGGGATTTTGTTATTATTCTTTTGTTAAACTGTTTTGACCTTTTTCTTGTTTCTTTTTCTCTCTCTCACACCAATCTTGCCTCTGTCCTAACTTCCTAATATACACTGGAGCTGATTAATACGGAAATAATCCCAAGTGAAATAATTCCTGTCTTTGGGAAAAGCAGGGAAACACTAGGAAAGAATACCAGGAAAAGAACAGTTCTCACTTTTAATTTATCCTCTGTATTTTCAGACCTGGAGACCTGCAGACACCCACCTATTTTGCAAAGCAAACACAGATACCAGCAGAGAGAAGTTCAGCTCGTTGCTGCCAGGCTGCATTTTGGGTCACCTTCCAAGGAAACTTCAGCCACCCCACCACACCCCAAAATCCAAAAGCTGAAGACTGATCTAGCAACTTCCTAAAATGCTGTGCCAGGTGATAAAGACCAACAAATAACCTAGTGTTTATTTAATCCTGGGTGCTGGAGAAGTATGCACACCATAGGTACACAGGCCTGGCTTGGAAGTTGTCAGCCAGCCACCAGATGGATTTTAAAGGAGCTTAAAACATCATTTATCTAGCAAATTTTAAAACCTCAACTTATTTCTTACAGAAAGAGGCCTATCAGTACAGGAAACTCAATTCAGGCCTTTGCATGGCTCTTCAGGAGGCATCCAAGTGACACCATGAGATCAAAGATGTGGCTTAGGAAGGAAAGAAACTTCTGTCTCCTTTTGTACTTTAGTCATGCTTGGATTACCAACAGATTTCATTCTGTAATGGACAGGAAGTTGAATTTGGGTATAAAAAAATATTCAAAAGAAGCTGGGTGTGCCCTCCCTATGGTCCTGATGAAGAAAGAGACTTCATCATATGCTTAATTATAAGCACTTGAGCAGTTCACTGAATTCACTGAATCTGGATGCAGATGTTAAGCATTCTCTGAAGCTCATATTCAATGCTCCTCTGATTATTAAACTACAAAATATGTGAATTTAAATAAATCAGAGCACTTCCATCAGAATTTTAAGAAAAAGGAAGTTTCATTTCAGTGTTGAGAAATAAGGAGTTAAACTGTGTTTTGATACATAAAACAAATGCTACTTACAGTTCATTGTGTCCCAGCATATTTCAACACAAAACCAAAGTAAACAGGTAAAAAAGTAAAAACATCCTTCTGCCTGCCAAACAATTTCTAGGTAGCTTTGAAGAGCATACACTGATTTTGAAAGGCTGATAAGACTTTAAAGAGAGAAACTTTAAAAAACAGAAGACAGAGCAAACAACCCAGAACCCAAAATCAAATTTGTATTCTGCAACCCATCTTGCTAAAGTATTTACACCATGTGAACATTTTGGCCTTCATGAAACTCTGTTGTTAATTATCTGGCTGTCTAAATAGGTAACACCCAATGTCAGGTGATTTGCTTTAGAACTGCTGACTAATTTGGGTCAGGATGATTGGTATGAGTAAATGTTCAAGTGTACACAAAAAAATCAGCAAAACTTAACTGAATGTCAACAAAATGAACCAACAAGTGAAGCATTGTGCAAATGGGCAGAGGTTTGTTCTATTGCACAACAAAATTAATGACCTGACACCCTCATTTGATACCACAATGGTCAGATACTTATAGGAAATTCAATGTGTGTTGTTTCTTAAGTTATGAAATGAACAGATTTCAGTATGGATTCAAGCCTGGCTTCTGGTTATACTTTATGCTTTTCACAATCAACATCAGGTTTCACTTATATTTAAATGAGAGAGCTATTTTAACATCTTGGCAATATGGTTGTACATCCTCCATGGAGCCCAGAGATATCTGAAACAATATGAGAACTGTGGTTTGCAGTATTGGGTTCCACATTAGGAAATTCAAACTAAGGATATGACTCAAATTCTCAGCAAACCTCAGATTTAAATAAATCATGAATCTGCTCTCTTTATGCTTGCTATATATCAAGTATAAAAATCTAGCATGCACAGGACAATGATCACCAAAATAAAAAGATCAATGACAAGCAATTATAATGCTTCAGCATCTTGGTTAAAAACAAAGTAATTTGTAAGTTACTAAAAAATTATGAGACAAGTGCATGGCTAGTACTAGGAAGTTTTGGTTAATAAAGAATAGCTATACCTAATGTATAAGACTGTATCATATTTGTTCTGAGAAAAAGCAGCATGAATACAAACCTTCTCTTTATCATACATGTGCAGGAGAAGCCATGTCTGTCTTGTCTTCTGAAATTTCCATTCTTCTGGGTTTTTAGACCAGCTGTAGAAAATTAGGGGAAAAATTGTTTAAATGGAATATTGTGATATCAAAACATTCTTTATTTAGAAAATATTCCCTACAAGGCTTCCAAGTGACTTTGTATGCATGACACAGAGTGTCATGGCACTGTGGGACACAGACACTGGCATACATTTTGTACAGGGCCACCTATCTTCTCTGCAAAAAATTATAGGAGATATTACAGACAAGAAGGTAAGAAATTTTCTTTAGAAATCTCTGATTCCTTGAAGTTAAATATCAAATCCCACCCCTCAGCTTTGGCCAGTCCTTTATGACAGGTCACTGCCCACATTTGACCAGGACAATGGAGCACCCCAAATCCTTACCCCTGCTGCAGGGCTAACTGAGAATTTGGGGAGGTGCAGGGGACAAGAATCAAGCTTGGGTTTCAGAAAGTTGCTGTTTCACAATTAATTGAAATTTATATGAAATTAAGCAGCCTCTGAAGGACTGGAAGGAGAGACTTGTGCTACAATGGTCACCTCAGCCATGGCTGCAGCCCATCACAGATGGCTGCTCTAAACAGACAAAATTCATCCTTCAGCAGCAAATGTTTTAAGGCTTGGGCTTGTCTAAATCAGGACTTAAATATTTATATTTATAGGCTAGAAAAATGGGGGTTTTATGTCTCTCTCTCTCTCTCATGAAGAATACCCAATACTGTTAAAAGTGAGAGGCTGAACAAATGATTAACATCTGCAAATGTTTGCTGGCTGTTTGGCAAACACATTTTCAATATACAAAATTTTAGCTGGGTTAAAATAGCACATTCTTGTGCATCTTGAACATGTTTTTAAAGCTGGTATATTTTGGTTTAGATAAAGGCATTTATTTCTATTAAAAATGAACAAACCAGTAAATCTATCTATGAAATGAAGACTGTTTTCTAAAATAATGTGTTTGAAAATTAGTATTGTGACATGTACAAAATCTGACAGCACACTAAAGTATCATTTGAAAAGAAAGAAAAAAAAATAAGGAGAAAACCCAGAAACTTTCACATTTATTTGATTTTTCTCTAAAGAAAAGTAGGTCTCCAGAGGGTAGCATGCAAGATGCCATTAATGTTCCAGCTTGGTTTACACAGCAATAGAGAGCACAGAAATCAGTTGAAAAGCCAGCTGGGTATGAGAATTAGTATTGTTTAAACACTGTCAAGTCCAATAAAGCAAAAGAGTCCTCATCTTTGGTGAATGCTGCACCAGCAAATACATTGTTCAGTCAATTCAATGAAAGAGAAAAAAAAAATGAGACCACAAATTTGTATAGAAAGGTTTCATGGAAGTCTCTGAAGAAAACCTAAAGAGAAATTATTGTCTTGATGTTCAAATTCAGAATAAAGAAAAAGAATCACAGCTCATTAGGGTTATCATCAGCTAAATATATTAAAATAGCTTATAACCAAAATATAAGGTAAAAATCAGACCATTAACAGTAAATCAGGAAGGACAGACAAAACCAATAACCTCAATATATCATCCTTTATGTGCTTGAGCTAAACCCTACAGATGAGCTGAGTTAGAGGCTTCTTTTGGAATAATAATATAGTAGCCAAATAAGTTGCCAGAAGTTTTCAAAACAGATATTGCACAAAAGCAGGAGGCCAAAAAGCTGACTGATACAAGTTATAGAATTAAATGAAAAACTATTTTTATGGTGAAACCATCCCTTCTCCCATCATCCCCAGCCCAGAACCCAAAGTACTCTTAAAACAAAAACACACAACCCTTGGTGTCTTTGCAGCAAGGTACCCAGCTGGACAACAAATGACACCACATGAAGTGGTGGTGAGGAGCCAACAGAGAATGAAGTAAAAATGACTTTTCTTGAGGGTGCAGTTTGTGGGGCCAACAGCAACCTGCTCATCTGTACCCACTGATTCTGTTTGCCAGGCAAACACAGCAGCTCCTGACAGAGAAACTGGGACTTCTTCAGGAAGTCCTTCAAAACAAACAAAATAATGCAATGCCAGTGGTTTTTTAGGCTATTCTTTTATGAGGCTCATCCTCAAGAAGAAGGTAAGTTTAGAATTCTTTTCTATGTAAATAAAGCCTGGAAACAGTTCACATTACAGTCTTTGCAAGGCGACAAGAACAAGCTGAGTGACAGATCTGTGACTGCATCCCAGGAAAACAGTTCCTCTGCTAATGAAAACCTTTAACATATGTTTGTATTTCTCTAAACTATTCTATGTATTTCAACATTTGTGATGATACCCATTGGTTGGACACGCCACATAGCACTCTGAATCTTCTACTCTGCTAATTTTATGTTTCTACCACAGTATCACCTGAGTACTGTTGGCACTGAAACTTAAAAAATACAGCCTGATTTCACTTAATCTCCTATAAAACTATAGGATGTTAAAATATCTTTATTACCTAGTTTATAAACAACTGAGACCAACAAATGAGTGCACTATGAGGTTAATTGCTCCTATTAACCTATTACCAAAACCATATGCTCTCTTCTACAAGTTAAGGAGAGTTGTTGTACTCCTGCATCCAAGACTCCATATGGACTTTAACTCCTGTGAATTCTCTTGCAGAAACAAACAAAAGTTTTAGTTTGTCTTCCTGAAAGTTTCTGCTCTATATACACCACAGTAATTCATATAAACAACAAATACTTTAACATAATCAACTGCAGAAAGGGCATTTGTGTCCATTATAGCACCAGAGCCTCACAAGGCATTTCTTTTGTTTTGTGATCTGTCCTATCAGAATTAAATGCTACATTATTAAAACAAGAAAAAATAGTATTTTCCTTAATAGCTATAGGTGTATTCCTATTTTCAGAAAATACTCCAAAGTTTTTAACTGGTACTCCATCCATGGTTGAATCAACAATGCCTGTTTCTTCTCCTTCAGGCAAATGGTCCTTCTCTTGACCCAAACTCCTATCAAACTGTGGGCAAAACACTCCTGATAATGGGTGCACAATCTCTAATGCAGATAACATGACAGCTGCTCTCCCAACAGTTATTAAAATAAAATTTTTCCACTGATTGCTATGATTATGGCAGCTTTTTCCTACTCCTGTGACAGCTCTGAAATCTATGGAAAAGAATCACTCCATGACGAAGTGAGAGCAGTACCTCCTGTTATCAGGATGACATCATTAGTACATTTTTAGAAATGCTCAACTTCTAAACTAGAAAACTTCAACCCTTATAACACAAGAGAGATTTCATTTTGCTGTTTACATGCAGATAAGCTTCCTTGACATACTACAGCAGGAAAAAAGGCTTTTCCTTTGAGTGATCAAATATACAGAGCAAAACCAACCACATTACAGTTAAACCCCTTTTTTTTTACAGACAATTGCAACCTATTTCACAGTTTGAATTCATATGGTAGATTTTGGAATGATCTGTGTCATGATCTAGTACAAACTATGGAATTGGTTGAAAAATATACATGTGTAAAACATGTATTATTCCAGGGTGCCTCGCACTAATTTTCAATATATTGTACAAACACTAATTGCCTTCTTTACACAGCTAATGTTTGAATCTTTCTCATGAGCTCCAGCTCATTGAAAAAGCACATTGGTTGACTTTAGTTAAAGAGAACTTAAATGTTTGTGCAAATGATCTTCCTAAATAGCTTTGAAATTGAATAGACAGAGGAAATGAATCAAATAAATCAAGCAGCTTAGGAAATTTTACATTTGGGCTTTTGTTTTTTAGCAGGAGAGCCTCATATAGAAAAACTGCCCAAGATTCTCACTGGTCTATCTCATAAATGATTTTTAGTGTGTCTACAGTCGTCTCCCATAAATCTACTCCCAAAACATGGGAATTCAGGCAGCGCAAGGAGGCAAACAGAAGGCAACTGGAGTGTGCAGGGCAGAGCTCTCGCTGGGGTGTCCCGGGAGAAGGAGATGGGGAAAGAAAAGCAGGCAAATTGGTTCCAGAAACACAGTATGAAAAAAACATCATTGTTACAAATTGGATTCAGAAAGTCAACACAATGCATCTGCTGAGACTACTGGCCAGGACAAAACTCTACAGAGCTGTCACAACCATCAAATAACCACTGAGTGCAGAAAAGCTCAGGGCTGAGAATCAACCATTTTACTGATTCCACTTGAAAAAATTATTGGGTGGGAGAAAAGTCTCCAGAAACCAGAAAGACAGACAGGGATGTGACTGCTGACACCTTCCAGAGCACACCAGAGTACTGCTGTGTGCCAGATGCAAGGACACCTCACCTACATCCACTGCTCCAGATGAGTGCCCCTGGCAGTGCAGCCCACCCTGGAGACACTTTTCAGCCTCAGTATCTACCCAAGGAAAAGCAGATTGCCATCAAATTTGGATTTCTCCAGCACACAGCCCAGGTTTAGCATCAGGGAATTAACCTGAAAGTTTTCTCCAGCCCTGAGGAGCAGCTCAGAGCACAGGTTCCGGCAGCTCTCCTATGATTTATCCCATGTCTGACATCCCCAAGCTTCCCTCCAGGTCTGGCCCATTGCACCAAAGTCAGAGCTTCACAGAAAAGATCCATGGAAAACATTAAAAGCATTGACAACACTACACAGAAATGGTGACGTTCTTCCTCTGGGTACTTTTCTGTTTTGATACACAGATTCACCACTCTGCAATTTGTCCTTAAGGATCACCTGTGTCCTTCCACCCCAAGGAAGAATGAACAAGAGTTATGGCACACAATTAAAGCTTGCAGGAATCAAGTTAGACCCTTTATTCCCCCAACTGTCTGCAAACAGCATCATTCCTTAGCTCACCACCCTACCCATAAAATGTGGATAACAGGTGTTTCCTCAATAAAGAGCAACCATACTCCAAATAATTCCCTTCAAGATATTTAAAGCCTTGCTGAAACCCTTGGCACTCAAGGGATGTGCTGGAATATTTCACAGTGCAATGCACACAATTGCAGCCTCTTTAAAAAACCCCATGCACTGGTGTTAAAGACAACTCACTGCCCTTATAAGGCCTGAATTTGGAAACCCTG